TTTTTTAGCTGAGCCATCCTGCCATCTGTTGGCAGCTCAGCAGCAGCTCAGCTTGGGCCGGGCATTGAACCGGCGACCCTGTTGCTCAGAGCTCGCACTCCTGAGTGAGCTCTTAACCAACTGAGCCACTCGGTCGGCCCTTTTCAGTTGTACTTCAGAGCCACATGTAAACCCAAGAGCCGCACGTGGCTTGCGAGGCGGTTTGCCGTCCCCTGTCATATGCATTCAGATACTCTAAACGTGTGGGTCATATGTAGCTGAAACTATCCAAACCAAAAGTTAATGTTTTTTATTTTTGCTTTAATTCTAGGCCAGGTTTGAATATGAATGTAAAGTAATTGTTGAGTAGTACTAGTGAAACCAACAGTTGTTTTGAAACCGTCAGTTTTCAGGAACCAAAGCACTAGACTATAACAAAAGGGCTGATTGTTAACTAAAACACAGATTGGTTGGCAATTCTCACTTTTTGGTCACTACCAGTGATGTGATCTCAAGACAATAGAGTTTGGATCCATGTTGACATAGACTTCAGTCCTGATCTTCCATTTACTATCTTTCTATAGTCTTGGCAAGATATTTAGTATCTGAGTTTCGATTGTCCCATCTTCAAAGTATGAATGACAACATGTCTTACCTTAAAATCGTTGAGGGTTAGATTAAATAGCACAAGCATTTCCTATTAGATAGAGTAGTGAAAGCATTGTTGGGAGCCTGGTGTGGCACCGAGCTCTGTGTGGGCCGACCCCGCGCGCACTGCCTGCGCGTGCTGTGTGCGCAGCTCGTTCACAGTCCTCATTGCATACATTCCCAGCCTGATTTTCTCACTTCATCCTTACTCTAGTGTTAGAATGACACCTAAACTCTAAATGCTCCCTTTAGGAAAACCAAACAAATCACACTTGCTTCAATATTACCTAAATACACATTTAAAAGGGTGAAAACATCAGTATGAAGGTGTCACTGACTGACAAGTGGCCAGGTTAGAGCTTCCTCTGGATTTGGACAGCCGAGTAGCAACTGGGGACTTTCCTTTTGACCAGTTTAAGAAACTTGAAGTAGTCGGGGTGCAGCTTTTGTTAGCTCATTTGGTGACACTGTCCACTTGCTCAATCACTGAAGTCCCCACTTGTGCAGAATGATTCAGAGCTGTGAGTGGAAAGACAGCGTGCGGGGTTGGCACCGGACCTGCCTCTGAACTGGGCTCTTTTCTCAGGCTGTGCATAGCACCAGCTCAGAAGTCAAGGAGCTGAAATCAATAATCGAGACTCTGCAGGAGAACCAGGAGCGGCTGCAGAAGGATAAGGCCGAGGAAGTTGAGCGACTGCACGAGGTCATCGAGAGGCTGCAGAGGGAGCTGTCCCTCGGAGGGCCCGCGGAGCGGGAGCACAGTCCCGGAGCAGCCCAGGACCTCCAGAGTGAGCTGGAGCGTGGGCTGCCGTGCCCGCAGGTGGGCGGAACCGAGGCCCAGGCCACTCTGCAGGCCGAGCTGCACGCTGCGCTCGCGGCTAGGGAGGCCCTCAGCCGGATGCTGGCGGAGCAGGAGCGCCGACACGGCCAGGCCCAGGAGGCCCTGCAGCAGCGCCTGCGCGGTGCGGAGGAGGCGGCCGCGAGGCAGCTGGCCCAGCCGGAGCCTGGCACGGCCTCCCGCACCCAAGAGCTGGAGGCTGCCCTGAAAGCAAAGGACGCGGCGATCGCCCAGAGGGACTTGGAAATCGAGGCTCTGCACAGAGGGACGTCCGCCCACCGCGCCGAGCTGCAGGCCGTGCGGGTGGCCGTCGCCCACCTCCGCCGCGCGCTGGAGCGTCAGCCCCCGGGCGCCGCGCACGAGCCCCCTGAGCTGCAGCGGCTGCGTGC